ATGGCCATTCCCTCTCAACTCCTTTATAGGTTCTCATCCTTCTACCCTTGACACATGGGCAAGGCCAGTGGCTCACTCCTTTGACCTTTTTTCTACACTTCTCCCTAGGTGAGATCACCTGGGCTCATGATTTTAAATACCACTTTTACACTGATGACTCCAAAATTCACACCTACAACCCAACTTCTCCACTGCCTGCTCAGCATCTCCACCAAGACGTCTACAGGGCATTTCAAACATAGCTGGCTTCACACCTCCCCGATCTCTTCGGACATCCACCAAAAGCTATCCTTGCTCCAGTCTTCCCCATCTCGGTAAGGGCAACTCCATCTTTCCAACTTCCCAGGCCAAAATTTTGGAGTCATTCTTGGCTCTTCTTCTCATACACCTACGCGGTCTCCAACATGAAGAAGTCCTGCTGACTCTTTCTTCAAAACATACGCAGAACTGAACTATTTCTCACCATCTGCTCTGCTATCACTCTGGTCAGATTTTGCCTTCATCTCTTGCTGGAGGGACTGTATTAACCTGACTGCTTCCATTCTTGCTGTTCTATAATCTACTCTCAGCACACAGCCAGAGTGACCCTTTTGAAAGGTAAATCCAGTCAGGAGCCTTCCCATTTCACTCAGAGTGAAAAGTCAAAATCTTTACAAGAACACATTAGCCTTAAAAATCTGGCTCCCATATTCTGACTTCACCATGGCCACTCTTTCCTACACTCACTCTCCTCCAGCCACAGTGGCCTTGCTATTCCTCCAGTGTACGCATCATGTAATTGACCTCAAGACCTATGCCCTTGGTATTCCCTCTGCCAGCGAAAATCTTTCGAACATCCATATTCTGCATTCCCTTACTCTATTCATGTTCCTACTCAATTGTCACCACCTCAGAGAAGCCCTTCCTACCTTCTATGAAACAATCACATTTTGCTCTAGTCCCTTACGGGGTTGAAGTCTCCTCATAGGACATGCTATAATAGTCATTTATTTCTCTGTTGTCCATGTCCCCCACTAAGGTATAAATCCTTTTAGGGCAGGAATTTTGTGGCCTTTGTTTATTGCTTCAAGCCAGTATCTGTAACAGTGCCTGACACATAGAACCAAGTATTTGCTGAAAGCCTGAATAATTCATTTTAAGACAATTCAAAGTTTACTAATACCATACACAGTAGTAAGTAAATTCATCAAATGTATTACTCTCATCCTAAAACAAATTTTCCATTACAAAATAGTTAAGATTAAAATAATCTCATTGATAGACCTCTGGTTGGTTATATGCATTCAGAGACCTTAACCACTAAAAACAACATCAAGGCTACAACCTACGCCCTTTCACAACGCACTCCTGATACAACTCTCACAGATAAACAGTTCTGGGAGATAAGCGCCTGTGTGCTTTATATCCTACCTAACAACCTTTTGGATGAAAAATAAATCCAATATATACAGATGCCAAGTTTCTTGGATTTCCATGAATCATCTAGACTTATTCTTTATAAAAGGAACATGTTAAATGGGTGACTAAATATTGATGAATGTCTTCCTCTAATTCATTTTACCGTATTTTAAAGATTTTATTTCTTTATTCATAAGAGACGCACAGAAAGAGAGAGAGAGGCAGAGACCCAGGCAGAGGGAGAAGCAGGCTCCATGCAGGGAGCCCGATGTGGGACTCCATCCCGGGACTCCAGGATTAAGCCCTGGGCTGAAAGCAGAGGCTTAACTGCTGAGCCACCCAAGCATCCCCCTCTAATTCATTTTAAATGAAATCTAAATCAGGGCCTTTAAAGTAGTACTTCAAAAAAAAAAAAAAAAGATTTATTTGAGAGAGAGCATGGGGAGAGGGGTGGTAAGGTGTGGAGGAACAGAGGAAGGGAGAAAAGCAGACTCCCCACTGAGCAGGGAGCCTGAATAAAGTCTGCTAGTGATACAAGAACAAGTTAGGGGCAGATGGGGCTAGGCAGGAAAAGATAAGGGAAAGGCCCCAGAGTCAGGCTCCTGCCCAGCCCAACAAAAAAGGTTAAGACAGTAAAAACAGAAAAAATAAACCTGGCTCCCTAGCTCCAAAATGTCAGGGAGTATCCCACTTTAATGGCTACTAAGTAGTCACAGAAACTCACCAGACTACAAAGACACAGGTCATTAAGTCCCTGCTCAAACCACAGAGGCACAAGAATGCCACAGGCTACCTGACTAGACTCACAGAAATCCTAGATGTAGAGAAATGTCATGAAGAAGATATTAACCAGAGGGAAGGGAACACCTTGTTGGGCTCATGACATTTGCAAGAACAGCTTGTTTATTATTATGATAATTAGGAGTCCATCTTATCTGTTCTAACTATAGACAAGATATTGACAAATCCACACAGATATTGACAAGAAGTATACCAAGTTCCCGGGTCTGTTTCCTACAAAAGACAACCCCTCAATGGCAACCCTGTCAGGACCCCTCTCACTTTTGAGAGCTTTCTCTGTATCTCTGTTTAGTAAACTTCTACCGCTTTGCCAACTCTGCTGGGAGACTCATTCTTTAACTCTGAGACATGAACCAAGCTCTCCCAACTCTCTGGTATCCCGGGGAAGCATGTCAGGATTTCGCTAGGTTACTAGGTGATTCACTATACAATATGAATATCACTGATGGGGTTAGGAGTCATAAAACCAACCAGAAGCAGCTAGAAAGATGGGAGTAGAAATATCATTCCAAAGGGGTTTACATATTTTGCAGTTATTTTAAAATTTTGATTGTAACCTATTAATATGACAGTAGGAAAAAAACATTTTAAATAATTTTACTAATACTGAACACCTATTAAGTGCTAGACACTGTAGGCCTGCTAAATAGGTCACCTTGTTTAATGAAACCATTAGTAAGTGTCATTTAAGGATTTAATGACAATCTATAATACAAACTCCTCTATCCAGCAGCTGTTCGGCTGCCTTCCCTCTGCAATGTGGTCCAGGACCAAGAAGGAAGCAGAGACAGACACACCATATCCAACTACTAACCTTCAGGGGTTCACTTTTGAGAGGAGCCCTCACTCACAGGACATTACAGAGAAAATTGCATTTAATTTGAAACTAGAAAGCTCAGGACTGGACAGATTAATTCAAACGCAAAATAGCCTAAGGCAAGTCATTCAGCTGTTTACCTCTTTATAATCTGATGGCTTCTCTGATAGCACAGTATAATAATTCCTTTAGGGCAAGGATCCTGATGCGTTCATTGTGGGACCCCCAGTAGGGAATCGGATTCTTAGAGCACATATGTGCTCAATTTCCATTAATGATGCTTATAACGATGCTCCTCAGTGATCAAAAAGATTAAGTTACATTGACTATCTTCTACAAAGGGCAAAAACCCGTTTGAAAAGATTTTCATCCATTGTTAACATCCAAATAAAGGTTAGAAGATTAAAAGCGAGAGATCCTCAGCTGTCCAGAGAAATTGATTATCGAGAACAACTTATTGAACAAGCTTTGAGGGTTCCAGGAAACTGAAGTTTCAGGAAGAGCACACAATACTGTATTCCCTGCTGCTGGACCAAGGCATCCTGACCCGCACTGCCTCCTGAGACCATAGGCCAGGTGGAAAATGGTCATCTGTAAAAACTGGACAACCAACTGCAGCTCCCTATAGAACTTTGCTCAGAATAGCAGCTTCTAGGTTACTGGAAAGGTCTGTTAGACTCCTTCACGGGATATCCAGAATCGAGACAACTCTGAAGGGGTCCACAGATTTAGCAATCATCACCCGGGATTATGGCAAAGTCTGAAATAATTTATCGCCCTTCTAAATTCATGTGGTTCTCACCACATACAAGCCTGCTCTGTCTTGGGGGCTGCTAACCAGCTGACTGAAGGCAGACAGGACAAGCAGGGGAGGCAGAATGTGGGGTGCACAGGAATTCTGGTGAAATGCTGACATCAAGAAGAGAAGATGAATGTGCGTGCTCTAACTTTAAATGCATCATTATTAAACTTCATGGAGTCAGTTCCATTTTAAAAGGCACCGCTCTAGTTGCCGGTAGCTGAGGCTCTATCACTCAGGATTAGTGATAAAGTGTGTCTGGGAGGGGGCTCCTCCCCCCTCCCAAGTTGAGGACGGTTTTCTATAGGACAAAGAGAAAACAAAGGTGCTGAATGGGGTTTAGGATCTTTCTGCACGGAACCTTTCTGACAGAAGCACGAAAGTACCGCGCCTCCGAGCTGGGGCTCTGGAGTTGCCTCTAGATGCGCACGGCCCCCGGAGTCCGAGTTGGTTCGGTCTGTGAAACCCCTGGAGGCGGCCCCTCGGCGCTAGGCTGCACCGGGCCACCTGGGCGAGCACCGGGTGAAGGAAGCACAATCTCTAGCGAAACTTCTCGTTTCCCGTCGCCGCTGGGGAGGCCGGGCTCGCCACAAACAGCGGCTGCCAGCTGGCCGCCGGCTCCGCGGGCTTCCCGGGACCGCCCGCCGCCCCAGGGCCGCCGCCGCACGCGTAACGGTCCCGGAACGCCCTGCGCTTCCTACGCTCGCCCTCGGGTCGTGGTTCCTCTTTCAAGAAGACACGGGGACGGAACGCAAAGCAAAGAGCAGACTAAACGCAGTCACCCCCATCGTCTCAGTTTCTCCCTCAGCAGCGGTGGCAGAAAGGCCGGAGCAAACTCCTTTTGTTGCGCGACTCCCGAGCGCACCGAGGAGGGGACGGGCACCCTGCGAGGGCCGCCGCCGCCGCCGCCGCCCGGAAGGCCCGCAGGAGGGGCCCCGCGCCGCCCGCACCCACCCGGCGTCGGCCAGGGCCCCCGCGCCGCAGCCCGTCGGGCCGAGGCCCCCGGCGTAGGCGGGCCCGGCCCGCACCCAGATGTGTGCATTTACACAAAGAAATTAGCCGGCTGGGGGGGCGGCTGCCCGCTGGGGGGGGCCCGGCTGGGGGGCGGGGGGGCTGCCGGCGGGGGGGGGTGGGGGGTCCCGGCTGGGGGGGCTGCCGGCGGGGGGCGGGCGCGGGCCTCCCTACCTGGGACATCTGCGGCCTCAGGTTGATCTCCTTCAGGTTGATGGCGTGCGCCCGCAGGTTGTTGAGGAGCTGGCACAGCAGGACCCCGTCGCGGAGGGTCTGCGCCAGGTCGAACACCTGCGCCGAGTCCCAGGTCACGCGGTGGTTGGCGGGCAGCACCTTGCAGTGGATGAGCCACTGCGCGCACTGCTTCCACGGCTCCATGCCCGACGGCTCCGGGACGCGGCCCGGCCGGGGCAGGCGGCGACGCTGCGGCCGCGCTTCCTCCGCGCCCCGCCGACGCCGCGGCCGGCCCCAGCCCGGAGGGGGGCGCGGGGGCGCGGGAGCGGCCGGCTCGGGGGCTGCGCGCGGGGCTCGGCTCGGGTCCCGGCCCGGCTGCTCCGCCGCCCGGCCGCCGCTGCAGCGAGTCCCGCGCGCTCTCCGTGCGCCCCGGCCGGCTCGGCGGCGGCGGCGGCGGCGGCGGCGGCGGCGCACAGGCTTCCGACTCGCGAGCCCGGCGCCCGGCGACTGAGCATGCCCAGCGCACGGCCGGCCCGCCGCCGGCCGCCAGTCCCCGGGGGCGCCTGGGGTCGGAGCCCGGGGGGGGGGGGGAGAGGGGGGACCCGGTGCCCCCGCCCACCTCGAGTCCGCAGGTTGGAGGAGCGCCCCCGTGCACACGCGCGGAGACACACACGGGCGCACGCGCACGGGCACAGGCGCGCGGAGACACACACGGACGCACGGGCACACGCGCACACACGGGCGGGCACACACGCGGAGACACACGCGAGGGCACACGCGCGCGCACACGCGGAGACACGCACAAACGCGCGCAAACACAGGCACACGCGCGCGGGCACACACGCGCGCGCCCGGAGGTCTTCCGTCGGGACGGCCGCCGGGTTGGGGAGCGGGGAGGGGGGCTGAGCACCGCAGCCCTGCGGACTTCGCGCCGGACCCCCGCCTCGAGGGCGACCGCCGTTTTTTTAAAGGGTCCGCGGGCAGCGAAAGACGATCGGGGCCCCAGGACTCCCCAGGAAGTGATACAAGGGCCCAGGGCACCTCGAGGACGCAGCGCTTGAAGTTCCACGGATCGGCGCCCCCACCCCTACCCGGCCTGGCCCCTAAACCCTCTTCCTGCGGAGAAGTCCCCGGTCTCCGAGTTAGTTGCTGGGAAGGGTGATTGGACACCGGGAAAGTGTGCGGAGACGCCTGCGGGGACCCGCCCCCCCCCCCCCCGCGCCCGGCGCCCGCTCTTCCCCCAGCCCCGCGGGCGGCGGGCAGACAGCGGCCGGCGGGGCGCCCGGAGCGCAGGCGGCCGACCGCGCATGCGCCGAGGCCGGCCGGCCGAGCGCGGTGCGGGGCCCCGGGACCCCCGAGCTGGCCGAGCGGCGCAGGCACGTCCCCTCGGTCCTTGGGTTCCCGGGTGCCCCGTTTTACTCCCACTGCCCCTCAAAACCAGAAACCATGTTTAAGCTGTTGATGGCAAGAGCCTAGCACGTTGAACTCGCCCTGTTCTGTGTACATGTGGTCGTGGCTCACCCTTTCCAGATGTAGTATTTTAAATCTTGAAAATAAAGACAAAAAATAAAATGGGATTTTAGATTTTTTTTTTTTAGAGTAGGACACTTCGGTAGCTAAAATTTTCCATTATGAACCCATTTGATTTCGTTCGAAGGTGAAAAAAAATTTTTAAGTATATCTGATCTGTTAAGAACAGGGATTGTGTCCTTTTCCATTAGCCTGTGAAAATCGTAGCACCCTGTGTACACTGAGTGTTAAACAATAAATCAGCTGGAGGATTTCCTTTCCTCACATGCATCCTTCCCCAGCAATTTCCCCTTGTGTTCAATCCAGATTACACCAATGGCACCATGTTTCCTAAACTACAATTTTGGCAAATAAATCATACTAAACTACGTATTTTTAGAAACGAAATAAAACACATCTAAATCACCATGTAATACATGATCCTGCATAAAGAGAAATTGGAAAAGAAGTTCATTAAAAAAAAAAAAGCCCTAGAAGCATAAATTCCATTTAGGTAACATTAGATCACCCTTGGTATTTGAAGGACATGTCCAAAACCCAGATAACATACACTATATCAAGAGGCAGAGCTGGACTTAGAGCTTGAGTGTGGCTAGGTTCTACTAAAATGACCTTAAGGAAATTACCTCTAGAAAATGCCTCTAACCCTTCATTTCCACATATGAAAAATGGGAAAAATAATCCCTCATAGATAGTGTTGTCAGGATCAAATAATACAATACCTTGCTCTTCAGAACACAGTTTATAGGTCTGCAGCACCACCCGAGAGCTTGGTGGAAATGGAGACTCTCAGGCTCTACCTCCAGACTGAATGAATCCGAGCCTACCTTTTAACAAGATCCCCAGGGATCCCTGGGTGGCGCAGCGGTTTGGCGCCTGCCTTTGGCTCAGGCGCGATCCTGGAGACCCAGGATCGAATCCCATATCGGGCTCCCGGTGCATGGAGCCTGCTTCTCCCTCTGCCTATGTCTCTGCCTCTCTCTTTAACAAAAAAAAAAAAAAAAAAAAAAAAAAAAAGATCCCCAGATGACACGTATTTATGCTACAATCCGAGAAGCACTGATATGATGCATAAAACATGTGGTACCTACCACTTAGTAAGACCTCCATAAATATGAACCAGTAGCTTTTAGTTCACAAAAAGACAGCAATGACCAAATTGTATTTAATTTTTTTTATAATTCATATATAATGTAATATATATACTATTACTTCAAAACATAATGCTCCTCAAATGCAGTGAATCAGAGAGTGGAGAGAAGGGCAAGAGGAAGAGCTATGGAAGGGCCTAGAAGAGAAGGTAGGTGAGAAGTTCAGGGATCTTCAAGTAAACAAGGAGCTAGTGGCAATATGCAAGTCATGTGGAACTCATTAAAGTGTCAGAAATTGGACAATAATGAAAACAGGCTTTTTTCGACCTGTCAGCCAAAGTCCTTTTCTTTTAAAATCTTACTACCTGGGATCCCTGGGTGGTGCAGCGGTTTGGCGCCTGCCTTTGGCCCGGGGCGCGATCCTGGAGACCCGGAATCGAATCCCACGTCGGGCTCCCGGTGCATGGAGCCTGCTTCTCCCTCTGCCTGTGTCTCTGCCTCTCACTCCTCTCTCTCTGTGTGACTATCATAAATAAATAAAAAATTTAAAAAAATAAATAAAATAAATAAAATCTTACTACCTCATGACAATGACCAGAGGGGGGATAAGGACTAAATTCTGTTCAGTAGCAACTCCTTGCTAGTGCTCAGCCCACGTTCCCATGAAGGCCAGTTTTGCACATGGGCCTTGGGAATTAGGATTCAATGGACCCACTGCCCTGAGACCTGCATTAACTCCTGAGGCACACCCACATTCACCCAATGCCAAGCCTTCCACTGGGCACTGGACAAACCCTGCAAATGATGTGCCCTTCCCTAACAGATGAAGAAACAGTAAAGGCAGTGAGCACCCCCTTCTTCTGGGTTATGAAGCTCTCACAACAGGGTGATGTGATTGGCCTCCAGTCTGTGCTGTTTGTATTCAAAGCTACTCCCCATTATAATAATTACTTGAGCGAGTTTAATTACTGCTTTAAACCTCTCCCCGCTAGACTGAAACACCTTGAAGGCAAGGATGGTAACTTATTCATCTTCAAGTTCCCAGAACCAACCTTGATGATTGGGACACCGTAAGCATTTAATGAATGTTACTTGAGTGAGTAAGGAATGAACAAATGAGCTATGTTGCCTCTTTCTACTTTCTCTGCCCTCTCTTCCTGGCAGTAAAAACATCAGGAAGTGTTCAAGGCGTCACTGTCAGGCCACATGAGGAGAAGGCCCTTCCTGTGTATTGTGAGCCCTTCTGGGCCCTGCTGCGTATCAGGCACCCTGTCTTCTCTCTTGCGTTGCTCTGGGGTTTGGAGCTTCACCTCAGCCCTATGTAGTATGAAAATGGGAAACAGCATGGGTGGATTCTGAGCTTCAGGAAACAGGAAAGACAGGACAGCAGTAGATAATGGGTATCACACACTAGGTCTCTTTCCACATTCTGAATTACATCATAATCAGAAAGTAAGGAGTCAAGAATTCACTAGGCTATGCATCAGTCCTAACGTACCAAAAGACTGTACAAGAGATAGAAGCCACATAAATTCATTTGTTGCTATCATCTGTGCTATCACTCAATCCTCACCAATTTTTTTCTTTTTATTATGTCAACTGTTTACAAAGCAACAATATCTGTCTACCACCAAGAAATTCAGAAAACAAAAAAAAATCCTTATTCTATATTTTATTTATTTTATGTCACAGAATTAAATCATCGATGCTATAAAGCATATCAAAGATAGATCTATTCACGAAAGCATTAAAAATGCAAAAACATAAATATTGTGGACCATAAACTCAAATCCAGGCTCTCTGTTAGGTTAATTTTCTTCAACTACAATCAAATGTAGTTTGGTTTCACAACCATTAGGGACACAGGCTTTAAGTTTTTAGTAATTTGATACCATTTTTAAAATAAATACCAGAGAACCATGCAAAGATAGGATAGGTTAGAGTAAGATTTCTATAGGAATCACTCTTTCAATAAATGTGAATGTATTTTTTCAAATTAGTGTGAATTTAAATACTTTTAGGTATAACTGAGCAGGATCTCATTAAGATCACAGGATTTCCTTTTCTCTTCTGACATGTTTAAGCCCTGATAAAAATAATAACAAGGACAATGATGATGATAATGGCCCTCATACAAATTATCACTCAGCATCTAACAAAAGAAATTTACTTGAGATAATTTATCACACAAACAGCCTCCATAGTAGCAGCCTGAAAGGAGCATAAAAACATGACCCTAGGGATGCCTGGGTGGCTCAGTGGTTTAGCGCCTGCCTTTGACTCAGGGTGTGATGCTAGAGTCTCAGGATGGAGTCCTGCATCGGGTTCCCTTTGTGGAGCCTGCTTCTCCCTCTGCCTGTGTCCCTGCCTCTCTCTGTGTGTCTCTAATGAATAAATAAATAAAATCTTAAAAAAAAAAGAACATGACCCAAAGTCACGTTGGATGGACTAATATAAATTACTAATTAGCTAACTAATCCAAATAAATGAAAATTATAAGTGTTCCTGCTCTTTCCATTGTGGATGCACACATACACACACACACACACACATACACACACAGTGAAGCTGCAAAGATTTAATTCACCAAATTAACCGCACCTCAGCTGAATCTGCTCAGTCTGGTTCTCATTAAACATACTGCAA